GTAAACATAATTTGAAAAAAATTAAGATGTTCATCACAGTATTAACTACGCAATATTCACGTCTGTATTGAAACCTTTGTTAAATGCAGTAGGTACTTACGTATTGATTGGTGTTTTTACACCAGTATCGCTTATTGGAGTCTAGATTATGAAATGTTTAATATTTCGGAATTTGAGGCACTCTTGTTCAAACTACCACAAACACAATAAGAAATCTGTTTACTATTTGATGTTTTTTTACACAGAGCTACAGCTTCAATTCTATAATTAATATAGCGTGTGACGACCCTGTCCTATGCAACATGAGTGCACGCCAGATTATGCGAATGTGATCATAATTCATTTATCGAGTTTTTAGGTTTTCGCGATTGTTACACATAGGAAATGAAACTATTTTTCCGGATTTAAATCGCGTATTCACATTTGTTTTTTCAAAGGTTTCGGGCCTTTTACAGGTCCCATAGTCACGGTTGACTGCCCACTGTTTGAGAAAAAATAATAGACGCAATTGAAATCCGGAAAAATAGTTTCATTTCCTACATAATTCATTTATTTGTGAAAACACGGATTATTTGGAACTTGACAACAATGTAAGTATAGTTTCACGGTGTCCGGCCGAACATTAGGCACAAAAAAAATTGCAAGTGTTATTATATTATACATTTACTCGCATGCAGTTCAACAGACTAAACCATATAATATAACATGTTATTTTCTCTTTTTTCTTAAAACAATAAAATAAATAATAAAATAATAATAATATCACATGAGCGTGCACACATTGCACACATGGATTTAATAAGTCAATTAGCAATTTAGATGCAATGAAATGTGGGTCAAATTTTAAATAAAATAATTATAGAAATATAACTAAATATCAAAATTATAAAATTAGCAACGTATAAAATAGATATATAAACGTCAAATATCTGAAAATTAAGTCAGGAATTTGTCATGTGTGCGTTTGTCATATATACACGGCGCGTGGCGGGCGTGCACACATACAAGTCGCGCTGCTATGTTTGTATGGAGTTACCTTACTTGTCTTATTATAATTTATGTTAATTCATTGTCCGTGAGTGTAGTTATTTACACTCAATAAAATATATTAACAAAACAGCGATAGTTACATTGTTACAGATGGCGCTCCTCCTTTTCGCCAATAAATAATTACATATTAGACAATATTAGCAGGATACAACAATAAAATATAATATGGACACTCCAAATTTTTGTTAAAATAGTATATAAATATCATTTTCTCACACATATCACAACATTGTCCGTGTATCCAAATAAAAGGCCATTTCTTGGTGGTCATGCTAGAATGTCGTACTGATATGACTAATAAGCGCTTGTTCCCAGTTGTCACCACTGGCTTTGTTCCCACTAGCGACAAATGGGAAAAAAATCCCCTATGTTACCAGGTGGTGACAAACGGGATAAAAAGATCTGCTGTTACCACTGGCGGCAAATGGAATTGAAAGTATCTCAGTAGGTTGCCAGTGGAAAAAAAAACCAAATGGAATAAAAAATTCCAATTAATGTAATTTTAAAGCCGCCATCGAAAAGGAATAAAATAAAATTCGAGTTTAATGATAAAAGTATAGATTTTATTAACTTTTTTCCCCATTTGTCGCCACTGGAAATCGCCACTGGTAACAACTGAGACTTTTTTATCCCGATTGTCACCACCTGGTAACATATGGGATTTTTTTCCCAATGTCGCCAGTGGGAACAAAGCCAGTGGTGACAACTGGGAATAAGCGCTAATAAGAATTGTTCGTGTTGGTAGTCATAATTAGTCGGCATTAACACCCTTTAGACTTAAATAATAAAGTACACACTCGCTCAAAATATAACTCTAAGGTTACATTTAAGTTATTAAAAAGAATGCGACGCAAATCTCTTTATTATTTTTGCGTAATTGGCTTGGCAAAAGTGTGATTTTTCTTTTATTATGTGCTTACCCTGAAAGAGTGAGACATTGTATGAAATAACGGTTTCTTGATAGCGATCCTGCTAAAACAAAATGTTGAATAACTTGTCTCAACATATTCGAAACGTAACGGATTCTCTACACTTTTCGCTTCTAACTTTGCAACAGCTCCTTAGTCTTCAGGCTCTTTTTGATAAATGAAATATAACCTCTGTTGTATACTTTATGCACGATTGTACTATATTATTTAAGTTAAGAAAATTTGCCTACAGGGTGTTAACGCTCTGACTAAACATGACCACCAATACAATTATTATTGGTCATGTCAGTATGTCGCTAGTATGATCACCAATAAACAGCCCAAATAAGCTTTAGCTTAAGACCATCGGCCATTACCGGTTACCTTCGGATTTGTAGAGCGCTATTTCCGTCAGGCAACTAACAAACTAGGGACAAAATGTCACACAGGTAGTAGTGACAGTAACGGCGTTCTATAAATGCTCGACTTTTACTAAAACTATGTTGTTTCAGTAAACTGTGAATGTTGGTCTACCTGCGGATAGATCAACCTATCTGGTATACGAGTTCTTTCGCTAGCACCTATACATCTTTAAAGTTAACTGATGTTTTTCAAAGTGGTATACTATATTTAAATTGCCGACCTAGTATACTTCATAAAAAATACAAAAACTTAAGAGACACTAGGGCAAGGGTCGAAAAACCAAACTGCGATGTGACGTCGCGAGGAAGACTACGAGCTCGCGCGAAGCATCGCAAGAATTTGCGGATTGCTCCGCATCCTGAGATGTTAATTTTCTTTGTATTTTGTTCCTATACTTTCTTATCAATAAAAGCAGTGGAACACTCTTTTTACGATCCATGTCGCTACCTAGTTTAAAAAAATACGTTGAGTACGGTTGACGATCGTCGAAGGAACGGTCACCCGAGCCGTGGCAGTGAGACGCTTTGTTGCACGAAATCGCATCGCCGCAATCCGCAGTTTTGTGTTTCGACCCTAAGTGAACGTTAAATAGTATTATAATAGTATTATAAAATGTTAGAATAGTGAGGGCTCGTGCTTAAAAATATTAAAATAATAAAAAACTTTTCAATAAAGTCAATGTCGCAGGTAAAGAGTCACGGATGAGTAGTAATTAGAGAAATGAATTTGCGTCCGAACCGCACAGATGTGAGAACCAACCATACTACAGTCGTCACAGCGTAAGAGGCAAAATTTGACAGCTGAGGAAGACGATAGTATGTAAGTTTGAATGCAATCAACGAAACAGTAAACAAACAATTATCAGCCTATTTGGCGTTAAAAAAAATTAATTACTTATACGATTTAAAATATTTGAAGTACTATTTTCGCTGGAATTCGAAATAAAATGCAATTTCGAATTCGTCCTAAAGGTCTTAAAAACGCTTACGTCTTGAGACATTTTTTTTTTTAAATAACTGCCTCTTTGGCTGAACAGTACCATGTTGGACTGCCACGTAGAAGTCCAGTGTTCAATTCCCGGCTGGGGGACATATTTGTATGGCCTACATTAATTTCTCTCATGAGTTTGGGTGTGATTTGTGGATGTCTACCGCGATACAGGGTTTCTCTAGTGCAGGGCTATGAGTGTGTTGCGTTATTATTATTATTAAATAATGGTGTTGTAACCAATTAGTCGCTGAATTTCACAGAGGCAATTCAATTTTACTTCAAAAAATATTGACTTATTTAAATATTAAAGCAATAATTGAAGAGCCCAGTACTCAAAGCCTTAATGGCAGATTAATGTTTTCTTTTCTTATTTGCAAATTTTATTACTATATTGAGGTATACTCGTACTAGCTCAATTGATGATTTTGCCTCATCTTCCGTTGGAAATGAATAAGAATTTAAACTATGAAGTCTTTTTGTTTTGCCACAGGATTTTGGCATTTAACTACAGTTTGTCCTTGTGAACTCTGTTACTGTAATGCATTACAACGACATCTACCAGGTCACTATTGTAATAATTTAAAATACTTATTATTTATATTAAACTCTATAATTGCTTAAATAAATATTATAATTGTTCTATCTAGAACTGAAAACCAATGATCCGAAAAGTAATCTAAACGATTACATAATTTTAATTAATCATTTAATATGGTTACCAATATGTTTAGCACATCCCTATTAACGTTGCGATGACAAGTGTCAAAAGTTGCCTCTTATTTATGGTTTTTGGCTGTAATCGTATCGTCACTCCTCTGTATCTCTGTCTGTCTGTGTGTGTGTGTATGTTAGCCCACACTACCTTTGTGCATGTGCAGTATAAATTTATAAAAAAAAAACAATAATTCTGAAAGTCTGTAGGTTTTTTGTAGATTCTCCTCTCAGTGAATTCTGTCGAAATTCGCCGGTAAATTTTTGAGCAGAAACGCGTGTTCCTCAAGTTGACATTGGCAAAATCATCGATTAAAAGAAGTAGTGACAGTGAATTTACTAATATAAATGCGGGTTTAGTGTCTTAGCTCTAACCAATTAAGTACAGGTGTTTTATCAGTGTATGGTCGTCAACTTAAATATGGCATAGTGATTTCGCTTTGCGTTATAGCTACTAGGCCGCCTAATTTCGACGCCGTATATTTCGAAATAGTAAATACAACAAGTCGCCGAAATTACGCGGCTGAATTGCGTATGAAACTCTACTCTTAACGCCTTAACATGTTACTGATAAGTTGGTCCAATAGAAACATCCAGTATATAACCAGAAATAGAGACGAAATGTCATTTAATTTGTTTGAAAACGATGACAACTGCGCTCCGATTGGCAAGCCCGAATTCCAAATAATTGACGGGTGTCGTCAAAAAAAAGTAGTTCAAGAAAAGTGATAAAACATCGTCATTAACGCGCACGAAGCCAAAGCTATCACTTTTCAATATTGCACATGAAGTTTTATATATAACAAAAGGATATACTATAAATATAAATAACATCTCTTAAGGAACAGCACACAAATATGATATGTTCTACATTAATTTTATAATATTACTGAGCGTTAAAAAAATTATGAAATTACCTTAATAGATCAACACCCAATTCTGTGAATGGTTGTATGCAAAGAATATAGGACAATGTAATACTAGAGAGTAACTGTTCTTATCTACATTTTGAGATACTTGTATCCAGTTTTGAAGCCATTCTCTCATATCTTGATTTGTGAGATGCATGCTGTTCAAACCTCGGATGAGGCAGGCATTCCGTAAGCTCTCCGTGTTGAGGTTTTCAACACCACCTTCTCTTACTATAGCTTTATCCATTTCAATGAGAAGAAATGCTCTAAATTTAAGTTTGTTTTTTCTGAATATGCCTTTCCTTAGACCATGCATTTTGAGGAGATAGCCCTGAAAATAAGTAACAGTTGAAATATGAACTAATTAACAATAATAAAATAGTTTGTTATATTTATTAATACAAAGATCGATAACAAAAAAAATCCTTCGATCCTATTATTATATTTAATAGATTTCTCTTAGATGGGGCTACGGCAAAAAAGTCGTTCAAAATCTAAAACAAACATCAATCGTCGTAAGGTGTGCTGGTTCGTTCCATAGCTCAGTTGGGAGAGCATCAGGCACCACACCAGCCAGATAGAAAGGATTTTTCTTAGAGTACGATCTTTGCATTAATAATCATAACATAGTAGTGGTTATAGTATTTCCCAAAAAAGTTATGACATCATGATAGTAAAACGTGATATTCAATAAACTTAAAATTACAATATAATAGACCAATATTCATACCATATGTGAATAAGTTAAATCTGTTAACTGATATGGTTGTTTTACAAACAGATCTTTACATTCAAGAACATCCTTCACGGTGGGATGTACACCAGATCCAAGCAACGCTAAAACTCGTCTCCACTTTTCTTTAGTGTCCCCATCAGGTATAAAGTCCAATTTAGCTTGAAGTGCTCTAAATACGGGCTTATTGTTTCTGAGACGGTCTCTAAGATCTTGCACTGAGAATTCTGCACGTTGTTGTATCGACCAGAAGTGCGAACACAAAAGAGATTTTGGCTTTAAAAACCTGGAACAAATAATTGCGCTACAAGTGTCATAAAAATTACTTTGACTGGAAGCAATATGGACGAACAAATTACGAAAAACTACTTCCCTACGTGATATCAGTCTACATGGTTCTGTAGTAACTAGTCTGTCGTTGACATGTTCAGTACTCAAAGACCGGTTTAGATTATTTATAAAAATAAAATGCGTATTTTACCTGTAGGCGAGCTGAGTTCAGAAAAAAAAACGTGGGTTAATTAGGTGGGATATCAGAGGTCATCTATTTGCCAAGTTTTATTGAAATAGCGTAATACGTTACGTCATGGCAAAATACGCTCTATTTCTTTAGCATTTACGTTTTAACTTAAATGAATTTGGTCTACGCGGCGGCTCGCGACCGCGCGGTTGTATTATTCAGAGGAATTTAAATGTTGTTGCCTACTAAATAGAATTCAGATTCGCCATTAATGTACATGAAAGCGTGGTAACTGGGTAGTCGTCGCGCGGCGGCCGTGCGAAAACTTTCTAGTGTAACTGAGCACTTAGAGATGGAATATTTTATTCAAATTTTAATGGGACCACCCTTTCCAACAAAAAAAGAATAATCGAAATCGGTTAGCAGAATTGTCTGAGTAATCGCGCAACATAAACACAAAAAAATCGAATTTAGAACTTTCTCTTTTTTTTGAAGTCGGTTAAAAACTAAAGTACTCGTCACAGTAAATACGTGCTATATTGGGATAACTTCTGTTATATGCAGTAGATTGATATTTTTATATCAGCTGCAGTATCCTGATTATAGTAGTATGATCTTGAAATAGAAATGAAATGCGAGTTTGTATTACATACCTAACAATACGTTTACATATACAAAATTATAAATTTGACACAACAAAATATTAATACAAATATCGAACAGTTAAAAACAAATTCCTTCGACATCAGAGCCTCTGGATTAGAATCAGCATCTTCCAGCAAACCGTGCCAGTCGCTATACCAAATATGCCACGTAACGAACTTGCGGATCTTACGAGTTTTTCTATCTGCTTGTTGCAGAACTTTGTTTATGGTTTTTAACGACTTTTTTGGGAGACGCTGGTCCAAATCCAGCCAGGATCGCAGGAATTGTTTCTTAGTGTTCAATTTTTCTATTAACAATTATAACAAACTAGTAATTTCACAAAAATAATTGAATATCAAGGTGGTCAAACATCGCGACATTCAATAAACTTAAAAATGTAGAAAAATAATTTTAAACATGGAGTGGCGCGTGCAAACTGCGCTTTACAAACCGCAAGATTATGCCAATGCGTGCATCCATACACGGCGTGAAGCAGTAGTGCACATATAAACCTACGCTGCTACGTTAAATGGAGTCTTGTGTTGTCACTTTTTGTCTTATTACACTGTGCTAAAACTTCATCTTCCAATATTAATAAGGAAGTGTAAGTGAAATTTCCTAATCTACTATTATTAAAAAGAAATAACTTACGCTAAAGGAAATATAATGTAATTCCCAAATGGTATTGCTGATAGAAATAGCACAGGAGCTATTCTCCACATATCGGCAGGCATTTTTTGGAACAGTTCTATATCCTTGCGACTCATGTTCGAGAATCCTTTATCCTTTGTTATTTTCAACCTTAATGTTATGTAGGTTTTAAGATCACTGAGAAAGTCTTTAATACCTATACTGAAAACTCTGTACATTTTAACAGCTGTAGGGAATCTCTTCTCTAGTAATGTAGTGTAATTATTTACATAATCTATGTATCGTTGGACAATATACATTCTCACTTTCTCCTTTTCAGTTTTCAGTGCTTTTGTCTGTTTAGGATGGTTGACTGGGGCAAATCTGGAACTAATTACAGTTATAATTAGATTTATTCTATTATTATAGTAAGCAAACTGGTGTAGTTAATTTCAAAACACATTCAATGCAATACAACCTCCTCATAGTTGTGTTACTATAAATGAAGACTGACAGCTTGTTTTAAAGTATAATTTTCTGCATAATTATGATTTATGTTATTCTACAACACACCTATTAAAGTTTTATGGTAGTTGACAATTCTATTATTACCCTGTTTCATTGTAATGCATTATTTGATATTCTATATTGTATTATTAAAATGGCTTCATTCGCGCCCTGTGCAGTATCTCATATCTGCAACCCTTGATTGATTTATTGTGATCACTACTAATTACAGTTCGTAGTCAAGGCCAATAGCATTAAACAACTGAAGGATTTTCCTGGATTTGATTGTATGTGGCCTGTGCCTTCCCAGTACGGAACTTCATATCATCATCATTTTGTATTTTTCTATTCTCACTCAGCTCATAATTTCAAATATGTATAGATTGTCACTGGGTAACTTGACTGAAGAAAAACCTTATTTGAATATAATTAAGGTGATCTATTAATTGAAGAAGTATATTAATATCAATAAAGTTTCAACTGAAGTTTACGAAACAGTAAAAAAAAATGTGTATAATTCAGAGATTCTATAATACCTCATCATTCTATACAATACTGGGCTTCCTTAAGCAATGTCTATAATAAATCATATTTTTTAACTATTATGCACATTTCCTAGGCATTGTATAGAATGCTTAGGTATTGTTTAGAATGCTGGCTGTAGATTTGGAAAAGTATTAACTGTCTCCATGGCCAAACAGTTACGGTTCAATTCCCGGGCCAAGAGAAATATTTGCATGGGCTACATTTACGTCTCTTGTGAGTTTGGGTGTAATTTGTGGTTGTTTAAGGTGTCCATCGCACCCGTGCTACAGGGTTTCCCTAGTGCGGGGCTATGAGTGTGTGCATTATTATTAAATGAAAGACAAAAAATGTAATAAGTACTTCTGTTCCCTTTCCTGTGTCCCTTAAATCGTTTGCTGGTAATATACAGTCCTTCCAAAACAATATAAAACTTATGGGAGTCTACGCCATTAGCAAGGCCGGTACTTCCCACCCAAACATTGCTTATGTTAGGTAGATAGGCAGTTGATATTTCGCTTCGCATCGATAATGCGTGTCACTACAAGCGGTTAATGTGATAGACAAAGTTATATAAAACTATATCTAAATTTTATTTACAAGTTTAAGCTGCTAATAAGAATATGATCAAATACCTGTATTTATAGATTTGCCGGATGTTTGCCTTTATTAATGTGCTCGAGGTTTGTTGCACTATAGTCCTAGATACTGCAACTATTCTGTGAATAGCCATTTCTTTATTGTTCTTAAGAAACAAAATTAATAAAATTTCGCAGCTTCACGTGTTATGAAAATGTTTTTTGTCAATGGTTTCTAATTTGTCAATTGTCAGTGTCGTACTTGATTTCTTTTTATTAATAATTTTGCCTTGGATACAAGTCCTTTGAGCCATGTCTTCGTTTAATTATGTTTCTGTAAATATGGCCGCCAGAAAGAGGCTAGGCAACTTGAGGCGGCGTGCTTGGATTGACTCGGGATTCCTTAAAACGGGCCGATACAGGTATTTTAGTTAGAGATTCGTATAATTTCGCGTTTTAATCTTCGATTAGGCACAATAGCACTATTCTATTCCACTTTAAACTAGATTTCACAAAATAATTGAAAGTCAAAATAAAAACGACACTTTTCCCTCCAAAAGGTCCAGAGCGAATCCTGTCGAACTTGACAAATGTCAAAAGGACATTAGTTTTTTTTATTTGTCTATGCTTTTCCAATCTTCAAAGGTTTAGATAAAGGTTTCTAGGATAGGCAACCATGAAGGTACAGTCAAGAGCACATCAAGCTTGACACTTTGTACTTAGGACCGTTCTTATTCGTAAGCGACATAGAGTTGGTTTTAAGTCTTAAGTGGCAAGCTTCACGTGCTCTTGACCCTGCGCCCTGTGCAATTAAAAAATACCACCGCCCGCAACAATGATCTTATCACTGCCATTTTCTTACATATCATTGGCCACCGCACAATAAAAACTACTTTTTAATCGATTTTGTTCCATTTCCATTATGGAATTCCTTGTCAAGTGCTCCATGAAAAAATTATGTTGTCTTGCGCCATCCCAACTTGTAGAAAAAAATTCAGCTACGTCCGTATGAACGTATTGAATATACCATTCGTTACTACCGGCTGGTCGAGCTCCGGATAAGGCGCATCCCGCAGCATAAGCATACCCCGTAATCTAAACCCGACCATGTGCCACAGGCCGAGCCCGACCCCATCGTAGGTGGGGTGCAGGACTCTTTCCATAATATAATAAGTCTATTTTTTATAATAGTTGCTAGTTTCCTATTTTAACATATTTGTAGCACAATTATCACATTGATTCAATTTATCGATTACATACATTATAGAAAATATTTTATTATTTTAGAGAGATTTTAAATTGCATAGAATTATCGATCAAGATCATAATTATAATGAATGAATGAAATCGTGACGAAGTTGTATACATTTCGTGAGACAAACAATAAAATGCGGGAATTCTCACGGGACTATGTACTATGCTATGCAAGTTGTCAATAATGTCGATATTTCGTAAAATTATAAGTGCGAAACTAACGAAATGTTATTTTGTTTAGCACTTAGAGTAATACGACATAATCATTCAACTATGAAAGTATCTAAAATAAGTATATGTAGCGGTTTCTACATTTGAAAGTTTTCGTCAATATTAGTTATATATAAATTTTCAGAACAACTGCGCCTTCTTCCGTCTGCCGCTTTCCAATAAGCTTCTGCTCGTAGCTAGATAGAATGGGAAATCACTCCATCTCTAAGCCGATCGCCTTCCTGAACTTCCTGCTAACACTATCTGTCTTTTTCATAATAGACGAACAAGTTGTGTGGCTGGTGGTAAGTTACACAACTGTACATAACTGTTGCAGTGTCACTCATACCTTTAAATCGCAAAGAACTGAGGGGCACTGCGCCTATCACTCTGAGACATAAGTTGAGAAGTCCTATGTGAATGTGATTTCACCAACCCCATTACCCTTCAAAACCGGAAAGCAGTAATGCTCACATTACCGCTTGGCGGCAGAAATAGGTACGGTGGTAGTACTTCCCAGGACGCACTCTTTCACAAGGTGCTCTTCTTTGTTTCTTTGTCTCCGATTTGTTCTTCGTTGAAGGGAAACCATATATATTTATAGGTAAAACATGTACGTAGGTAAGTATGATGAACTTAACACTTGATTCATTATTTATGTAGAACATTAGTTCCGGAAGGCAGCATAACTAATAGGTAAATAAGTAGTAAAAGTCCTACCGCGGCCTGACAAAAAATCGATGTCAATTATTGTAGGACACTCCCATACATAAGGCGTGTCTCGGGTGTTATCGTCGACAAAAGTTATAGGTATGCATAATTATGCAAACCAGTGACAAGATATTATACAACGTAACTTAATGATTACGATGCTTTTTTTTTGACTGGATGGAAATCTTTATAGGTACCCCTGAGCCCAGGGAGACTCAGGGGTTATGTGGGGAGTCTCCCTCCAGACTGGAGGGCCTACCGTACTAAAACCCCCTAGGTTTACCTCTCGCCGGTTGAATCGGCGCCATAGGATCGTTGAACATTCACCACAAGATTACGATACCTAACCTAACCAACTGAATGGAGGGCGCAACCAAGATTTGACGTATATGAAAAAGAGGAGCAAATATTATTTTTGAATGCTAATACTTTCTCAACCACGTATCTTATAAAGAGTGATTGTTCAGAAGTTGGCAAAAATTTCTATTTATCCGCTCACGCGATGCGCTCATCCTACCGCAAAATGGCGGCTATTTGGTTTCGCAAATTAGAAAAGGATTCAGTTTAAATACAAATTTTTAAAAATAAAAATTATTATTCTGCATTGCTAAAAAAATACCCTCCGTACTACAACAAAAACATCTCAAATAAAATGCAGTAATACACCGCAAATCCTGCACTTAAAAAGCACTAATGAAATTTTTGGTGTACTTGGGTAAATATGATAATATTCCGTTTGAGTGGTTCTAATGTTTACCATGAAATTACTCCTTAAAGTATAGTTTATAAACATTTATATTCAGGGTAAACTTAAAAAACGCAACTTACGGTATGTTTTCAATAAATAAACACCGACATCACCAGCCCAAACAATAACACACAAGACTGTCGTGACGTATTTTTGAAGTTGTTTTTTTTTTAAATGACACACCCAGGCATTAAAAACTTTATGGTTTGCTAGAGTAGTTACCGAAATAGCAATTAGTATTAGTTCTTTAACCTGTTATAACTTCGATATCCGATAAATCGGTATAAAATCATCATCATCTCTAGGTGGGGTATGCTTCCAGAGACGCATGAATCGCGTGAGCGGATATTTTAAATTTCTTGTCAAGGGTGTTAATTTCGATGTATTACTTTAAGAATTGGTAAGAGCCAGTGTGTATGTCAATACCTATGAAGTGATGTGAAATCGGCCTGCTTTGTAATACTTTGTATAGACAATGTATTTTTTTTGTAATTCACTTACTTTGTGTCTTAAGATACGAGTCTGAGAAAGTAAATCGACGAAATATTCATTTATTATGCTCAAACACCTGCCTTACCTATTTTTTATTCATCTCTTTCACACTTTCACAGGGTTTCCCTAGTGCGGGACTATGTTGAGTGTGTGCGTTATTATTATTATTATTACTATAACGGGTGGGCTTCCCGCCTACACTATTGTGCCTACTTCTTTTCCTTAATTACAATGGGAGTTGTGTGGAATACTCTGAGCGTTCTCTTTGATATTTTCTTTTGCTTTACATTTTAATGTTTCACTTATACAATATTTCTTAAATAATATTTTAAAAAGTATAGGTTTTTCTTGCACTTAGGTACATCTATTTTTTTACAGTTTTTGCTTTTAATTGTTTGCAATGGATTAGGTCTCTATTACAAAATTCTCTTACTTCAATTTTAATTATTGTATTTTATAATTGTTCTTTTTCATCAATTATCTACATTATCACAAAATATATTGCTTAACGTATTTTATTTATCTATCTTCTTTTCTATTTCTATGTTATACTAAATATACACAATATTTAGTTAACACATATTTTACTTAATAGGTTTTGTGCACATTATTTACCTTCTTGACTATTTCTACGCAATATCTTAGAAAAATATCCCTGTATCTAGGTACCTAATATTATACTAGCTATGTTATCCATTGTTAGCTATTCATCCATATCCTGTTCTACGCTAAATCTTTCAGAAGCAAATACAGGGTATTCCAATACAATGACGGGGACACTTCCCAGGCTCACAGATGTACGATGGATTCTCCTTACGCCTGAAGTGGTTCACATACTCAGAGAACCCACCGCGTCTTGTCATTAATTGTGTTGCCACTCCACTCAATTCTATTTTCCTTACCGTTCTAAAGACCAATACAGAGTCGGGGTAAAATATTTTTGTAATGCCGACCGTGTTACCGTGTATCTGTCGTTCCATTCGTCAAGCGAAAGTAATCCGATACTCCGCTTGACAAATGGAACCGGGCACAGGTCGTAATTCGGTTTCTTTTTATAGTTTAATGCTGCGTTCTTGGCTAACTGGTCCGCGGGCTCATAGCCCTCTAGTCCCGCCATGGTTTTACTCAGAATAAAGCGACAGCTTTATTTTCCTGTGATAAAGTTCTCAAATTTAAACGGTTAGATGGTGTAAGCCATCCAGCTGTGTAACTGTTTGGATTGCGGCCTTAGAGTTGTGATAAATTTCAAACGTCCTTTCTTTATGCTGGAGGATCACCGTACTCGCCTCACACAAGGTTAAGTTAATTTTTTGTATGGCGGCCGTCTTATTTATTTTAATTTCGAACATTTTTCACTTTCGGCGGAAATTGCCAAGGGTGTACCTCATAAAAGTGCACAAACTTTCCCTCCATTATTATAGTTTTTGTAGGCCGATGATCAGTCTGTTGTGCGCCAGGAGAGGGACGGTAAGTGGGTTGTGCGGGGAGGCTCCTTTCGTGCACCCCTTTTACGGGCTGGTGCTGTACTACCTATGTCGGTTTTGCTAAGGCCTACAAAAAATTGAATTAAACGCATTTCGCTAAATGCATTGGTGCCATAAATATATTAAAACTTATTTAAATTACTTCCTTTATGTCAACGTGATTTCAAACTTATTATATGAAATTATTAATAAGTTATGAAAGTATCTAAATTGTCATATTTTTTACATGTAGCGCAAACCTCTCATTGAAGTTCTG